TTGAGCAGAAAGCAGCAGCGCTTGTGGAAGCCAGTGTTTCTCTAACTGGGACATGCTTCAGCCTTGGTAGGATGAACAGCGAGGGCTTCTGCAGGCACCAGGCAGCCTAGCAGTGGCTGAGAGAGGGGGAAGGAAAGTCTGGCAGCGCCACAGCCTCTGCTCACCAGCTGCCTCCTGCCCTTCCCTCTGCGGGTGTCCCCTGTCCTTCAGCCTGGGCAGGCCAAGCCGAAAGGGATTGAATAAATCCTTCTGTGAGTCACTTTTAGGACATGTTAGTCTTAAAGTTTCAGTGTATGTTCATAGATTGTTGTATTGTTTGCATTTAATATGGTGCCATATGGAAGAACTTCCTTTCCTTGAAGAATAGCTGAATGGGCCAATTTATTTCTGCGTAAGATAGAGCATTCAATCTTTTGTCCACACCTAAGCTCAGTTGGGGGAGGTGAGAATGGACATTGGTGTCTCTGTGTCTATGTCAGTTTACTGTTACTGGGAGGGGAAATAAAGTTCAAGTGCCCCATGTGAGTTGAAGAGAGGCAAACGTATGAAACTAGCTTTGGCTAGCCCCTTACTTGGGACGATCTACCCATATGACCCTCCTATCACTAGGAGTTTGAGAAAAGGGATAGAAAAGTTTTGTTCACCCGAATAGTAATACCAACTGATGGACCCTTCCAGTAGAACCCTGCCTGAGGCAGGTCAAGGATCAAAGATACCACTAAAGCCAAAGTAACTGTAAATACATTTTGAATATTTTGGATTGAGAAGTAAATAATACAGAATATGTGACTTTTATTTTCCATACTTCTATTAATAGCCGACTTAAATTTATGCTGCTTAAGTCTGGGTTGCCTCCTGGGAGGAGATTAGAGAGGAGTGTGATGGGCTCACTGTAATCGTAGTTACACATCATTCCACATCATTGTCCGGAAACCTCTGGAATAATCTGGGAGAGTGCATTGATTTTGTATTGCCATATAACAGAGCACCCCCAAATCTGGTAAATTGATACAGCCACTATTTTATTTGCCTACCATCCTGTGAGTCAAAAATTGGGGATGGGTTTAGCCAGGCGGTTCTCATGCTAGTTTTACCGGGGTCACTCATGGCTACAATCATCTGGTGGCTGGAAAGTCACCAGTCATTCTAAAATGAGTCACTTACCTCAGGTGGTGTTGGCTTCCAGCTGAACAGCGTGTATTTTAGGCTTTCTTGGGTTCCTTCACATGGTGGCTAGGTTCTAAAAACAGTAACAGATCCAGGGGAAACCCAATATGCAAGTGCTTTACAAGCTTTTGCTTTGTGTCGTGTTTGCTAATATTCCTTTGGCCACATCAAGTCATATAGCCAAGTCTGGAGTCATTATGGGAAGCAGCCACACAAGGGCATGGATATATGGAGACATGATTTATTGGGAGGATCTTTACAGGAATAGTTTATTGTACATGCATATTAGAAAATTAGAGTGAATATGTTCAACTACAGGTGTTAGGGTTCTGAGGTTCCCTTCTTAGGGATTTGTCACATGGTATGAAACTCACACCCTATTCCACAGCACCTCCAACTCAGCAATGACGCCACCATCAACAATGAGCTGGGATACCCAAAGCTATATGATCCCTTTATCACTGAAAAGGAACAAAATCTCAAATGTAAATCATTTTCAGATGTTTATAGTTGATTTGCTGCTCTCTTACTTAGAGGAGTAGATGGGTTTTTAGTTCTGGTGCCCAGGTAACTTTTCCGTTTTCTCTGAATGGGTGCCTCAGAGAATCTGTGCTTCTGAAATGAGCTGAGGAACTGGAAGACTAATAGAGGTGAACTAGGGTAGATGTTCCTATCCCACGTTTAATAAAAATAGAGTAGAATTATGCAAGTATGTAGATAAGCTAATCATCTGACCTAATCAGCAATGCAGATTTTAAAAAGCCTTTCTAATTACTTCCTCAGCTTGGCTGAAGGTATGGGTAAAAAAGAGTTTCCCAGCATGATGGTAGCAGATGTATTTCATAATATTTATTGAAAATATTGGAAAGAAATCCTCAATTATGATGTTCCTGAAAAGTACATCAAAAGAGATACCATGTTTAACATATTTTAAACTTTCATTAAGTTATAAACATAACATAATTGAGATGATCAACTCTCACACCAGTTGTCTGGAATCATTATTACAGTCAGGCTGTCAGAGCCAGAGAGCTTATTGGTGAACTGCCCGTGTCTTCCCTGAGTTGTATTACTTCTCCACGGAGGCTCTAGTTCTCTTGGGCAAAATGGGACCACCAGGATATTCTCTGTTCTTTAGCTGTTTGTTAATTTGGTATCTTGGCACAGGCAAGATGATGTTTCAACAACTTTAAATGTTAAGTTGCTGACATTTACAGGCATATGTAACACCACACAATATGTGATTTGGAAGCCTGGATAGATCTGATACTCATTTTCTTGGCTCAATGTGAGTAGTCATGAATGACTGTCAAATGAATCATTCTACTCTAGGGCTGCCCAAAATGACGCTGTCTATGAATTCCTGTTAAATGCCTATATCATTCCTGTGTGCTGTGCTGCTTGAGTGATAGCTGTTCATCTTTACCTCCTTACCTTCCATTCTGTGAGCTGCTCAATGGCTTTCCAGTGCATTCTGTTTAATATAGGTTGGCCTGAGTCAGTTTCTGCTGCCTTCAGTCAAAATAAATCTTAAATGATTCGGTGCTTTCAGTGCCTTCGGAGTGACTGAATGCTTAGGTGGCTCTCTGTTGTCAGATGCTTGTGGAACTGGTTACTTTCCTCCCTGAAGAGTTTCCCCAACATCCTTCATTTAGGGAATCTTCTTTAGAGATCAGATGGAAAATAAACAGTGTTTTTGTCCCACTGTGTATCATACAAAGAAAACAGTAACTCTTGATGAGTGTCACTGCATGACTCCTGGCATTTGAGAAACTGAATACTGCATTTGGAGAAGTTGTGAGTGCTGAGTCACATGACCGTGACTTGATTAATTTGAGGACAGGACTAGAAAATATGAATAATCCAACATATAGTGTACTTCATTGGATAGTGGCTTTGAAATTACAATGTGGTTATACAACCAGAAGTCATAAGATGTGACACTTTTATACATCCAAAGTTTTTTTGTAAATGTTTGTTTATTTATTTTGACTTAGAGAGGAGGGGGGACTGGGAGGGACAGAAAGAGAGGGAGAGAGAATCCCAGGCAGTCTCCACACTGTCAGCACAGAGCCCAACACAGGGCTCGGGGCTCGATCCCAGCAACCGTGATGACCTGAGCCGAAACCAAGAGTCGGACGCGTAACGGACTGAGTCACCCAGGCACCCAAACTCTTAAATCTCTGGATCAGAGTTTCTCAATTTGCATGCTATTGGCGTTTTCAACTGGATAATTCTCTGTCATGGGGGACTGACCTGTGTATTGTAGCGTATCTAGCACTGTCCTTGACTTTTGCCCACTAGGTCCCCTTACCCTTAAGTCGTGACAAATCAGAATGTGACAAGCCAGACATTGCCAAATGTCTCTTAGGGGGAGTGGGGGGCAGTTTTGTCCTTGGTTGAGGACCACTGCTTTAGATTGTTTGAATTGATTATTTTCTCTTTTAACAAACATTTACCAAGCCCTTCCTTTGTTCAGAATATATTCTGGTGTGTTTATATTTACAGGCAGAATGTATGTCACATACACTAGGGTAATGGATTTAACAGATGTAAGTTCCTTCCTAGCCAAGTTTAGTTAGAATTATGTTGAAACTCTCTAGGTTTTTCTATTCATATTGTAAGTATTAAGTAGACTCACAAGAAATGGTCTTTTTGTGGGTAAAAAATGGTGAAATATCAACATTTCCCAGTGGCTCTACCTAACGTACAATTTACAATACAAAAAAAATGATTTAAGAAAAAAAGAAATTGTAAAAAGATGTCATTGTAACCATGATGTGAAGTTCATTTTGTTTTTCTTTGCGAGCAGTGGTGGTTTTAGAAATCTCTTGCAGGCAGGTTTGAAGAGCAGAAGTCTGGCTGCAGCTGGCTGGGGCTGAAGTCATGTATTTTAATAATGCAGTTGTGTAGCTAGTCCAATACTTTTAATTTAGAAGGTGTGCTTATTTTGTGCTTGAGGTGAGGGCTGATGGAAATCCTAGACAGTGGTGGATGCTAAGGTTGTTCATAGAGAGGAGGAAGTGGAAACGAAATCTAACTTTTAAAAATATGCATTCACATACTAAATGCTGATGGTAATCCTCTCATTTGAAAGGATCTGATGGTCCCGGTCAGCAGGGGTCACAGAACATAGGGCTATTTCTTGCTTTGCTGGCAAGTTCACGGTGGGAGGAGAATCCTATCTGGAAATGCCTTTCTGAAAAATGAAATCAGTGTGGAGACGAACACTTTCTGGCACATAAAACATACACTTAAAATGCTGCTACTTTGTCATTTTGGGGCACTCAGATCTCCACTTAGAGCAGTAATGAACTGTGAGACAGTATTCACTGAAGTATGAGAAATACCTACAACTTTTAGTCTTGTAAACCTTGCTCTTCTTCAGGCTTATTAAGAGAGCTATATAGGCAGGTAAAATCTGTGCTCCCCACCTTCCAGGGAACGTGCTAACGAGCAGTGAAATGGCCTGAACTCTGGCAGCAGAAGCAAGAAGGAAGAGCCAGGGGGTTGCACAGTAACTGATGAGCTACCTAATCAGCTTCTGACCACTCAGGAGTTAATAGTATTGTGGATTTTATAGTTTCTGTTCTGTAGTCATCCCCTGAAACTGTTGAGAGCTGATTGAGGTTTTGTAAATCAAATGAACAAGGGAAAAGTCAGTGAGCGCTCAGTCCATTAAACGCACCACTTTCACTAATTCCTGGGATTTCTAGAGAGTTCCATGTGCGCGATAGGCACAGACCAGACATGCCATGCTTGATGTTGGTCCAGGACAAGGTTATCTTTCTGCACGCTAATTTTAATTCATTATATATGCCTTTTTTTCCCAGCACAAATGGACCCCCGAGGCCTATCTCCCAGACAAAGTAAAAGTGACAGTGACGATGATGACCTGCCAAATGTGACCTTAGATAGCGTTAATGAGACTGGATCTACGGCCCTTTCCATAGCCAGAGCAGTACAAGAGTAAGTACCACATTCTCAGGATGAACTAAGAATCGCCACGGTATTCAGTGGGTAATGGAAGCAGCAGCATCTCTGGTCCCAGGGCTTGTCATTCTAGCTCTGAATGGGCACACGTGTCAGCACCCTTGCATCCGGCCTGACGTTCTTCGGGAGCAGATTAGGGGAAAGCATGGAGTATTTTACATAGCTGAAAATGTGTGCTTGTATTAGAAATGAGACTTCTGTGCATCTTTCCTAATATCTCTAACCTCTTCTCCTTAACTCTGGAAAAAAGTATATTGTTCTTTTTGAATGTCAGTTCTCATCATCATTGTTACAATTCACACACAACAGTCAAGAGAAATAAAATATGGCAAGTATTATGTATCTTGTTTTGATAGGAAAGTACAGAATAGCTTTTTTGAAATTTTAAATATGGAAGATGATGTTTCATCGCTGTGAAAATTCAGAATCATATGTAATTTTTAAAGAGATCTTGTCTCCATTTTTTAAAAAAAATGTATTTATTTATTTTGAGAGAGAGTGAGAGAGAGCACAGGCGTGCACACACTTGAGTTGGGGAGGAGCGGGGGTGGGGCGGGGTGGAGAGAAAATTCCAAGCAGGCTCCGTGCTGTCAGCACAGAGCCCGATGCGGGGGCTCGATCCCATGAACTGTGAGATCATGACCGGAGCCAAAATCAAGAGTTGGATGCTTAACCGACTGAGCCACCCAGGCACCCCTAAAGAGACCTTGTCTCTCTTCGTTTATCTAGACCATAAAGTTAGGTTTCATCCCTTGCTTATGGAAGATAGTTGCTTTTCCATCATTGGTAATTCTGTATCTAGAATTGAACCTATGACCAGTCTTTGTATGTTTTTTTCTATAGAATAATTTTAAAAACATAATCTTACATAAGAATGGGATTTAAATAGCCTCTGTTATTGCTGATACATGATTAACAGTTCACTCAAAATGATCTTAGTCGCTTCCCATATTTTAATTCCTTTTCCCAAATATTGACTAAGTACTGACCCTGCTCCATGCCTTAGTCTTTGTAATCTTTAACACACACACACACACACACACACACACACACACACACACACACAACTAGTATGGCATTTTAGAATTGAAAACGTGTATATATAAAATAATATGTTTCTGTGTTCTATAGGTAATACATATTATATGTTTATATTATATATGTTTGCATACACACAAATATATATGGTATATTAGGGGAAACAGGATATAGTGGATCTAAAATGAAATTTGGAGTCAAAGATCTGAATTCAAATTTATATTTAAGCTCTTAATAGTTGTGTGGCTTTTGGCAAGTTATTTAACCTCTCTAAGATGTTTCTTCATCTGTATAAAAAATCAGAGCACTTACCTTATAGGACCATTGTGAGGATGTGATATAAAAATATATATAAAGTTATATAAAAGTTATATAAAAACCGAGCCATAAAGTTTTGGCACATAGAAGGCTGTTCAGTTAATTAAGGAATTAGGAATGTAATTATTGATGGTAATAGTAATAGTGTGTAGTATACGACAACTAGGAAATTAAAATGTTGCAAATACTGTTATTCTAATTGTACAAATGAAGGCACTCAGGATCCTGAGAAGTTAAATGACCCCTACAGAGTCATCTGATAAATAGTAACAAGGCAAAGTTTTGGACTTCTGACTCCAAAAATGGATCTTTTTCTAAGAGTACTTGTAATGTTTGTTTCCAATGATATTCTTGCATTTCAACCCCTATAAAAAAAACTTTTTTTCACTCATGTGTTCAAATAACTGGTTGTAGTCACTTAGTTTCTCCAAAGCAAATGTTCATTTGAGCCAAGATTGGTATTGAATCAAAGGGGTTGATGAAAATCCTGTTTAAAATGGTGGCATGCTTAGTCACCACTAAATCAGTGATCAGGCCTGGTTTGTGTAATCTAAGTCTTAAGATCCATGTCTAAAATTGGACTAAATAATGACAAGATTCAATTCTAAGGTGAATAGTAGGTTTCATAGACATTTTAATCATATCGTTTTCCTGCGTCATTATGAGACATTGTATAGTTTGTGTGTACGTGTGTTTATAGATGTGGGTATGTTGCTTTTAATTCAAACTTTGAAGTTCGGAACTATGATTATGAAGATCTCAGTTGCGCTTACTTTATTAAGGACTTAACAAATAACGGTATTAACTTGTCAAGTATAACTGTTTCTTTTAATATTATGAGCTTATAACATATAGCATATTTTAATGTGAAAATTTAACAGCAGCTTCAAAACCTGGAGCTTCATTTTCAGCATAACCTCTCTGACTTGATTTGTGAAAACATTTTCAAGCCACAGTATCTTGTTTAACTGCATATGCCTGCCTTTATTACTATTACAAAAGTTGCATGTGTATCTAGGGAAATGCCAGATTCATTATTCATGTAAGTGTTTTCATTAAACGATTAGTAAAGAATACGGAGCCGTCACCTGGGAAGCCCTAGAATGCCAGGACCCATCAATAGTTAATTAACCATCGTTCAAGACGGAGTATGTGTGTGTAAACACCAGGAAGTACAAAGAAAGTGTTAGAGGAAGCACAAAGTGTGCTCTGTAGAGACCTCTTAAATACGGGTGTATTTCAAAACTTACAGTAATATACTGAGACCAATTTTATTCTGGGACAAATAAATATATAATCCTTGTTAGACACTTTTAAAAAATCTGTACTTAGGTTTACCTAAAGTTCACTTTCAATGTGTACAGTCATAAGCACGTCTTTCTGCTCCTCTCTTAGTTTCTCCTTGATTCTTCAATGCATGTTGCTGTCGTTTATTTTCTGTTTTCTCTCTTTCTGTTTTGCCTTTGGATCTTGATGCCTTCTCAGAAGCTATCAGTTATTAACTCAAAAGCTGTCAAACAAGCAAAGATTTCAGTGTACTATGATCAATAAAATAACATGTTAAATAATAAAAGTCTAAAACATCAGATTGGCATATGTGAGATGAGAGGATTCCAGAAGACACCAGTTGACCTATTTCCTGTGCTTGCAAAACTTTCTTGGGAGAGTCATATTGAGAAGCATGTCTACAGGTAGAGAGACAACAAAATGAAAGATTTATGTTTATTAGAGATCGCATATTATAAATTCTTGGGCAACCAGTACACATTTGACTTTCCAATCAAAGGCAAAAGGAGTCATGATTTAAGAGGATTCAAAGGCTGGCCTCTTAATTCATTGGCCACCAATGCAGTGGTGCCAATGAATTTCTTGTCAATCAAGAAAGAGAAGGCAAAGGATGAGAAAGGAAGATATTAGGGAAGATTGACACTAGAAATGGATGAAACTGCCTTGTCCTTGAGCAGTCCTTACAAGATGGTAACCCACAGGGTAAATACCTCCAACAGAGATGCTCCTCTTTCTCTCCCTTCCCATTCAGGTTCATAGTCTTGCCTCATGCCATAATCATCATAGTTTGAGTTTTCAATATGGTGCCTTACTTTATTGACGCTGTATATCTACAACAGCATAAACCTTAATATACTAATAAATGTTTTCCTAATGTCTGGTATTCTGCATTTTACTGGTTTGTAGAATGAACTTTTAAATCTTCATTTTAAGAAAGGTTTCCTTTGCTTTGAAATGCAGTTGTTAGCCAGAATTGCATCCTCCTCTCTAAATATTCAGGTATTCCTGTCTGTAGATAAAAAAAAAGCATTGCTTGGGATTAGAGCGGAAACTGAGGTTAGTTCAGTGTGTATAGTTTGAGAACTGCGCTTGAACTTATCATTTCTACCACCTTCATTGGTTCATTTGATTGCCATTCATCAGCTTAGGATCAGCAAATTCAGATACATTGGTAAAAGCCACAGAGAGGCCCACAGGCAGGCTCTGCCCTTTTCTCATTTTAATTGCGGAGATACTGTCCAAGTCAGAAACCATGTGTTCAGTAATTGTGACAAAACTGACTTCCAGCATTTCATAGAACATCTGTTTTGTTTTGGTCTGTTTTTTTCCTCGGATGGTAAAATAGGGTTGTTACCCTTAACAACTTGACAAACGTAATTATGAAATAAGTGTTTGGAAAAAGAGAAGTACAGGCGCATGATTAGAGCAAATTATTGTAATTAACTCTAACCGCAGGCAAAACAATGATATTTTTAAATAGGTACAGTTTGGCTGTGTTACCCAGACCCTCTAATTTCTGTACCCCCTTTTTTTCTTTTTCTCTAATTCCAAACATTCATACCCCTCATTTGTTACTGGGAGTAGGATAATCAACTTTGTTCAGACTAAAGTGTAAATGAATTAGAACATCTCCTGAGAGAAATTTCAGCATAACCAGGAACAGACCTTAAACTAGAAGAATAAGGATCTAGATACAGGCATCCCCTGCTTTCAAAAGTTCCCATTATGCCACTTTGCTTTTATGAAAAGGCCTATGTTAGCACCTGTTTTTGCTAACCGAAAGGAATCCAAAGAGGATTTTCATCTTTACAAAAAACCGGTGAAAAGCAAAAGTGGTGTTCAGTATTGTTGGGTTTTTTTTCCCCCCAGTACTCTTCAGCAGCGAGAGCAGCTCCACCAGGCTCCCTCCCTGGGAACCACACTCAGCATCTCAGCACCAAGCTTTCAGAGCTCTGAGCTGTGTCTGTGAACAGCTGTGCTTTATCTCCATTAATTGTGTGCCTTTGTTAGCAAGACATGCCCTAAGGCATCACAAAGGCCTAAGAGAGGTTATTTTGGGGGTCTGGGAATGCTCAAAAACTTTTCCATAAAATTTACTGGTCATTCTTCGCTCTACACCATTTTGTCTTACCAAAGGTTTCATAGGAGAATGTTCTACTTTCTGATAGTGACGGAAACCCGTATAGTAACTCAGTAACAGCGATTGAGAAAGGGTAGGGTGGGGGGTGAGGGAAGCAGATGACGATTTTAAGGAGACGTACCTGTTTCTCAGTGTCAGTCCTTTGAGAATTGGTGCATGCACGTGACTGTTGAACTCCTACCATATCTGAGTA